CTCTACTTTATTGTAAGAATACAGTATATAATACATATAACACACAAAATTGTATTGACTGTTTAAGTTATTGGAAAGGCTCCAGGCAACAGGAAACTGATTATTAGTAGTTACATGTGGGGGCAGTCGAGTGTTATATGCAAAATTTCAACTGTGCAGAAAGCTGGTACCCCTAACTCTCCCCTTGTCCAAGGGTCAACTGTATTTCAAATTTGTACAATCAATCAGAGGTACTTCAAGGGAAAATTAGAGCCCCGAAAGCAATGTTTTAAGTGTTAAACTCAAGAAATTAGAAAAAGAACAGTTATCCCAAAGAAAAAGAGCAAAACGAGATGAAATGTTACCAAATAGAAAAGATACAATAGAAATGATAAAACCAAGTTGTTTCCTTTGGGAAAAAACATATAATAGCAAATCTATAGTAAGAATAATTTTTAAAATGCAAACAACACTAGAAATAAGAAATAAAAATCAAATGCACAAAGCAAGAATACTATGAAAACTTTCATGCCAATAAATTTTTCAAATTAGATGAAATGGACAATCTCCACCAAAAATATTAATTGCTATAACTAACTCGGGAAAAAAATTTAAAAATTTGAATCAATGATTTAAAAAAACAAAAACAACCTTCCACTTCCACTCTTCTCCCAAAAAGGCTACCTACCATCCAAGACAGTTCCAAAGGCCAGTTCTACCAGATCACCAAAAGACAGACCATCAGTAATTTATCCAAGCTTTTCTAGGTAATGGTAAAAGGGAAGCAACTTTATGAGGCTAGAATACAACCCAGATAACAAAATCTGATGAAGACAATTTGATAAAAGAAAATTAAAGGTAATACATGCAAAAGTCCTAAACAAAAATAATACAAATGAATGCAGAATCATCACTACCAAGTTTACACTAGAAATTCAGATGGTTTAACAGTAGAAAATAATGTAGTTTACAACATTAGCGGGTTAGAAAAATAGATGATCCTCTTAGTTGATGCAAAAAATACATTTGATAAAATTCACCACCTACTCATGAGTAAGTCTTGGAAATGAGGGGAGAAAGTCTTTAATCTGAGAAATAATATTTATTTTTAAAACTTTCAGAGTGATCATATAAACCTAAATAAAACATAAAAAGATGGTGAGGAGTTCGAGACCAGCATGGCCAACATGGTGAAACTCCGTCTCTACCAAAAATACAAAATTAGATGGGCATGGTGGCATGTGTCTGTAATCCCAGCTACTTGGGAGGCTGAGGCAGGAAAATTGCTTGAACCCAGGAGGTGGAGGTTGCAGTAAGCCAAGATCACGCTGTTGTACTCCAGCCTGGGTGACAGAGCAATCGTCTTTTAAAAAAAAAAAAA